AATTATGATTTTTAGAAAAGATATCATAATATAATAATTATCTGATTAATATTATAACAATTGTCAAAAGTTGTAAAGAGTATAAAGTATTTGTTTTTAATAAGATAGTTTGATAATTATTTCTTTATAATATTTAATATCTCTTTTCTACAAATTTTTAAAAAGATCTTATTTTAATCCAATAATAAATTATTTTAACAATTACTTATTCTAGAAAGGTAACTAAAATATCAATAGCTAAAATAATCTATAATCAATAAGTCTGTGAAATAAGTTTTTTGAATATTCTTAAATAATTTTAAAAGGTGAAAATTAAATAGTTTATCTATTTGAAGATCAAATTTAGAAAAAATTTTTTGCAAAGATTTTATTTGCCTAATAAATACTATTTCTAATTTTTTTTATTTAAATTTTCTTTAATACATTTTGGATTAAAAATAAAACTTAACATATAATAATAATACTAATGAAACTTTAGCATATTGACTTTGATACAAATAGATTCCTAAATCTATAATCAATAACAAGTCAAAATAAGAGTAAAATCTAATATAGTCAAGTAATTATTTAGAATAATTCATAAGTAGTAACTTTTTATAATATATAATATAAACATATATGAATTAAATAAAGAGTTACAAGACATGGCTCAACTAGTTAAGTTAAAAAAAAAATAATAATAATACAAAAAAAATATATGTATTGTTGATGTCTCTCTTGGCAAGTCTGTCGCTAATTTTGGGTCAGAACTCGCGTAACGATGGCGTCAGGTAAGTCTTTTTTTGGTTCCTTCTCTACTCGAGACGTGTGGTTTGGCATGGCTGGACTTTCTTTACTAATACAACTTTTCCTTCTTGTTCCGTCATCACGCTTATTGGACAAACTTTCCACTTTTTCCCTTTCGTGGTTCCGGTCGTCTCTCTCACTTCGCGACGAGTACTGGATTAGGTAAGTTAATTAGGGGGTTATCTGTGTTTAGCAATGACAATCGTACATCTTAATTAGGAAGATTTTATTTCAAAGAATGGTTTCGTTTATTAACTGGTTCGTGATTCTCTCTCTTTTTTTTCTTCTTACATAAGAGCCACCTCTATTTATATTAGAGTGTCGTGTCTCTTTTTCCTATCGTTGCATCATTTTACTTTTCTAAGCTATCATAAACTATCGTAATTAATAATCAATGTGACAATAGCTAATTAAGCTTTCTCAATTACATCATAATTTTATGTGCTACTATAGACTATCGGTCTTTGATTATCAATAATCGGGGCACACGACGCCCCAGATCGCGTTACGCGACCATGCCTCATACTATTTCCCCGCCAACAATACCTTCCTTTTTATGATCATAATAACCACTTTTTCCCTTACTTTTCTCTCTCTACAACATAAATTCAATTTTAACAATACATTCAAACATAATTACTGGATCTAATGTTTGTCTTAACACAACCTTTACAAATTTTTTTTATTTTTTTCTTCTCTATCTAAACATCAATACTACATTATATTCCTATACTTTTCTATACTCTTTTCAAATCTACTCAAAAACCAAAATTAGTTTCACCCCATCCAAAGATCTATACTCTACAAATGACCAATAAGATTTCTCTATCCTTAACAACAACATCAAATCTGTTCAAACTTGTTTACAACTAGTCTTCTTCTAACAAAAAATTCCCATATTTAATAACAATACCAATTACAACAATACAACAACATTGACAACAAAAATGATCTGATAACTTGTCGGATTAGAAGAGCACATGACCTGTGCCCTGCACAGATTCCAGTAATCTTTACTTTATATACATCCAAATAACAAAACAAGCAATTGGAGCAGGCTCCAGTTACCTGACCCACTTATATCTTAATCACAACACTCTTTTACCAACCATATGACTTTTTATTATCTCAACAATGAAGTTGCGACACACAAACAACAATGCTACCATTAAAGAAAAAAGGCAGTCAAAGCCTAACTAATGTGAGTATAAGTATAATACTTTTATTGCAAGTGGAAGTGAAATACCAGGGAGTTGTGCCCTGTAATTTGACAGCTTAAGCCAGTGCTTTTCTATTGCTGCTGAAGTCATATCCAGCTATCGAAAAGGAAGCAGTAACCTAGGTAGACACATTTGGTTTGTACTCTGCAAGAGGAATTGTTGATTTAAAGATAATACGCTCCTAAATCCTAAACATATCATCACTATAACTTTCTACTCTCCATAAATCAATAACTATATCTCTTACTTATAACTAAGCAACATATAGTTCATCCTATACGCTATCAATATTTCTCCTTCTAAATCAAACTTCTATTACTTTTTTTACAATTGACAATCTTGCCTGAAATGTTTTTTTTTATTTTTTATTTTTTCGTAGCAAATAGTTTCTCAGGTTTTTCTTTCTAAGTTTTTTTCAATGATATATCTGCTTATGGTGGCAGGGCAATATATATTATCATATACTTCATACTTTATTGATTTTGTATATAATGTATTATATTTACTATGTATAATTAATAAAGTCTTGAGGAAGACCTCACTTAGCATTTAAAAAAATAAAAAAAGTATAAAAACAATTATATTAAAAAATATAACTGAAATATTATTTAATTAATTTAATTTTTAAATTGTTAGTATTAAGTTTTCTATGTATATGATTCTTACTATTATGTTTTGATAATGAATGTGGGTATAATTTACTCTTAAATTGTTGTCAATAAACATTAATAAAAAAAAAAAAATCTGATTATATGTGTTAAATAGTTAGGTGATAAATATGATATTAATTTTTATTAATTTTTTTATGGCCTTTTAATAACGTGTCAATTGCTTTTATGTGTATTACATTAGATGGTAAATATAGTATAATGCTTATTTTTTATCTAAAACATAATAATAATACATTAATAATGATCAAATTGATATATGATAAATTAATATTACTGAAGCATATGAGTATTATCTTTTTAATTTGTGAAAATATATATTTTTATACTTTATTTTAATTGCTGCATGTTTATAAACTTTCAAGATATAAGTATATGAATTACAGCATAATTAGTTTTATATATGTTATATTATTTATTTACATAATAAATATAATTATAATATAGCAAATTATTATTTTTTTTTTCCTCAATCAGGTTGGTATCATTTATTTATTAAATTATAATGAACCATTACAAATATAAATTGTATGTATAAATTTTCCTGACCCAGCTCACCCATCTGTGACAAAGTGTCTCTAGATGTGATTTATGGGGATGATATATTGCTCGTATATTAATTGGAATTAAGATCCCATTTGTTTAATAGAGTCAAAGCCTGCAGATCATCTCTACAGATCATATGCCATAAACCTAGATTGAGTTTTTATTTAAGCACTAATCATTTTTTCTCACTTTCTATGAACTTCTGTATTAGTTCTCTGACCTTGTCTAGTCTATTTATATATTCTTCCATTTTGTATCTTGTCTTTTCTTCCCTTTTTTTTCATGATTTGTTTTAATTATATTTCAAAACTGATTTTATTTATATTAATTATTATATTATATTTGATTATACAAATTTGTTTTGATATTTAAAAATATTTAATTGATTGGATTTGAAATAATGATTAGTTGATAGAAGTAAATTAATTAAAATTTTTTGATAATAAATTTTTTAGGTGAAAATTTTTGGTTTATTATAATACAATATATTGTATTAAGTAATATTAAAAGTAGATATTATATATACTGCTAATGTTTCAAGTTAATACTATAAACAATATTAATATAAAATTTGATTTTTTGAATTAAAAAATAGTTTTTTAAAAAAAGAATATAATTAATTGATAATATTTATTTTTAAATAAGAAATAATAATGAAAAAGAATTTCAAAAAAGATTTAATTATCATAAGTTTTTTTTTATACAATCTAAAAAAAAATCAAAATTTTCAAACTTGTTTTTTTCTGATTAAAAGTTTTATTTCAATATATCAATATATTTTTTTAGATTTTTTGAGACTCTTGTAATAAAAATAAAAAAAGTATAAAGGATTTTTAAGTATAAAAAATAAATAAAAAATAATTGTTTTTTTAATTTTAAAAAAATTACTATAAAAAATTTTTTTAAAAAAAATATTATACAAAAAAAAATTTTTTTAACAAGTCTATAAAAAAACTAAAAAACAATAAAAATTGTTTTGTATTTTATAATATTTAAAAGTTAACAAATCGACAAATATAAATATAAACATTATTAATATACATATACTGTATTTATTTATTTATTTATTTATTTATTTATATTTGATAGGCATTAAATGCAAGATTTTTATTAATTTTTAATTTCAATAATTTATAAGTGCATTAATTTAACTTAATTTTGTTTAATAAATTAATTTTGCCGATTAATTCCAATTGATTTTTTTAAAAACTATACATATTCACGCATTTCCTGTATTTACTTTTATTTAATAAATATGTTCACTGCCAGTATATTGCATTTTTTAGGGCAAATAGTAAATCTATATAACAATTATAAATAAAGTTGGTCACAAAAAAAAAAAAAAGAGACAAAAATACACGTGATGGTAATAATAGACATGTATAAAAAAGTCTTTTTGACTTTATGAAACGCTCCACACTCTTTTTGTTTACGTAAACTTTAAACAGTTAATTCAAGTCTACTCCGAATATAGAAACTTGATCTCTCGTTCCTAAACATTTCAATTTGCAATTTCATTCATATTATTTCAAGGTAAAGTTCTAGTTTTTTTCTAATGAGATGCATAGAAAGTTCATTTGCGAAAGGCGCCTCCGATGAGTGAAGATTCGGAAGTCGGCGATCACCAAATGATCTTTAGCGGGATTATTAAAGGCTTGTTGCCAAAGACCTCAAAATACCTTTTCGCGTTTATTGACTAAACTACTTTCCAACATATTTTCCTATATATGTATGTATCTTATGGTCTTTTCCTAAAGGTTTATTCACGTGAATAGAAAATATGTCGGGCATATGTAAAACTAGGCTTCAAGAGGAACGTAAACAGTGGCGAAAAGATCACCCATACGTAAGTTTTTTATTATTTTCGATGTTTACGTATTGATCTCAACGGAATTCTACGTGTTTACGATTTCAATGCTTACTTGAATCATTTGCACGTATAGGGCTTTTATGCGAAACCAGAAAACACTGAAGGCGGATTAAATCTAATGGTTTGGAATGTTGGTATTCCTGGACCAAAAGGGGTAAGTTTTGTATTGTGGACTTTGAAATCGGATAAGTTCTTTTGGTTAATTTAATTTCTAGGAAAGAAGGTTTGAGTGCTTTAGTAGTTTATGTATGATCATTTTATTTTATTTAGGGTAGATAGAAAATTTTGATTGATTTTTCTATTAACAAGTCAACTGTTTTGGTAAATCAATAGACCCCTTGGGAGAACGGGATGTACAAGCTTGTATTTACATTTCCCGAAGGTAAATTACTATTATTATTTTCTTTGAGTGCGATTGATCGGAAAGAAATTCCAAAATAATTCGGCGCCATTATTTTTAATTTTTCAGACTATCCTGTGAAACCTCCAAAATGTAAGTTTAATTTGGTAGTCGAAATATACGCACAGTAATTGAATTTCCAATCTCTAAATTTCAATCGTTTTTCAAGGTAAATTTGTTCCTCCTCTCTTCCATCCGAACGTGTATCCGTCCGGTACAGTCTGTTTGTCAATTTTGAATGAAGATGAAGCGTGGAAACCATCGATCAGAATCAAAGACGTAAATGAACTTTACGTTTATTATTACGTTTATCATCATGAACATTAACAATAATGACGTTTCATTTATCGGACGTTGATACTTAGATTGTCATAGGTATACAAAAACTTCTCAATGAACCGAACCTCAACAGTCCAGCTCAATCAGAAGCTTATATGATGTTCAAGTAACGAATCAATTAATTTATTTCTCATTTCCCTTGAATTTATGATCATGTTAATTTTCAATAACATTTTCTTTTTTCCTATGATAGAAATGATCTTGTAGCATACGAAAAGCGCATCAAGCTGCAAGCGCAGGAACGAAGAGCGGACTAGAGGGCGTCTATTAGTACATTTCCTGTGACCGGTGAACATTAAAATTAATTTGTAAACACCTTAAATTCTTCATATTCTACTTTCTGCACCCCTCACTTGGAATATAAGGTATATAGGGAGTCTCATAGTTATAATTTGATGATTTGATGCATTGTACATTATTATATCAGCACTTTTTAGTGTGTTTCTCATGAATCGAGAGTGAATAGCCAATAAAGATGTCATAATTTGACATGTTCGGTGATGTTTAAAAAAATAAAAATTAAAAAAGTTTTTTTTTTTTTGCGATCATCTTTCGCGCTAACTGGTTTTATAAATGATCTTTATATTTTATTGTAATGATGTGTAAAATTTTTACTATTCCAAATAGAAACTATAATAATTTATATATTAAATAGATTATGTTTATTTTTTGTATTTTGGAATGATTAAGATATTTTTTCAAAAAAACCAAATTATTAAATTATACAAAAACCATCTATTTTTTTTTGTTATGATTATATCATATTTTAAAAATTCACAAAAATGTATATTAATTTGGGGTATAATGAATCTTTGGATAGCAATATATATGAGACTATTTAATCAACAGCTTATTATTAACATAACGGATATAGCAAACAATAATAGACCTGATGTAGCGAATAATAGTAAGCTCGGGTTTTGATTTCTTTTTTTTTTTTTTAACGGAAATAACCTGACGAAATCAAAGCATCCGAATAGCACAACACGTATTTCTAATAAAGGTATAGGTTAAAAGTCCCGCTTAAGTAGAAAAAAAAAAAAAAAGAGTAATCGGTGTGCATACATATAAAATGGTATTATAAATGGAAGCGTTTCGTGACAAGCTAATGTGATACGATAAAAAACAAACATTCTCTCGATTATTCTTATTCGCTGGATATTATGTTATATGATTGTCTCCATGATATACAACAAAATTTTATATTAAATATTTACAAGATTATATGCAAAACGAAGGTGAGATCGCCGTCGATAGTACGTCGATGCATCATTAAATGTGAACGTTAAAAAAACCAGTTCTTCTCAAACAGCACCTTTTCCTACAAGACCTATATCCTCTCACCACTCATTTCCTACCACGATTTCAACATTTTTAAGTCAAACCCATCGTAAATAAAAAAATCAATCATGATTCGTTGTAACGCATGCCACGCCAACATCGGCAATACGGTTCGAATAAACTGTAGCGTATGTCAGGACTTTAACCTTTGTGTCACTTGTTTTGCCTCGGGAGAAGAATTGGAAAATCACAAGAGTTGGCACGGATATAGAGTTTTGGTGCGTTAAGTTTATATGGTAACACTCTTTTGTTTGAAAAGATGGAACTATTCAAAAGGAGAAAAAAGAGAGCTGAGGACTCAATGTAAAGAGCTGGGTCAAATCATAATTATTAATGGGGTTGATTGACCACATTGTATTAATTCGATTCAATTCATCCCCTAGGAACAATATTCATTTCCACTATTTAATGAAGATTGGGGAGCGGATGAAGAGGAATTATTGATCGAGGGTGCAGAAATGCATGGTTTGGGGAATTGGGCAGATATCGCTGAGTACATAGGAAGCCGAACGAAAGAGGAATGTGAAAAACATTACATGGAAACCTATGTGAATAGTGAATCATGGCCATTACCGGTAATTTTATTGAGCTTTCATGCGTTCTCCGGGGTGAGGAATTTGTGATGGAAATATAGTAGAATGTTTTTGGAGATTTTTACATGAATCAACTAAAAAAATTTCTCGAATAATTATCTTGTTGATTCGATCCAAGCGTCGTTGGTGCAAAATTGAAGAAAGTGCAAGGAGGAATCGTGGGATTTTTTTGAAAAAATAATGTGATACTGACGACTGACATTAATCTCTTCCCCCCTAGAACTTGAATTTTCAACCTGACGAAGAGGCGATAAAAACGCGAAAGCGAAAGCGTATGAATGAAGCAGAATCTCGAGGGCAAAGTAATTATTGATTCACATATTCGATATTTGGTTTTGACAAGGGTATTAACCATGTTCTGTATGATAGACTCTACACAAAAGAATCAAGCTTCGTCTAAGGTATCATTTTTGCAGCCAATGCATTTTTTTCCCTAGCATTTTCCTGATAGCATTGTCTAAAGAATTTTTCCAATTTAGCCTCAGGTTCTCCAGAGTTTGCCGGCCAACCACGAGATTGCAGGTTACATGCCAAATCGACTGGAATTTGAGAATGAATTCGATAATGACGCAGAATTAGTTATCAAAGATTTAGAAATCAATGAACATGATGATAAGCAAGATATTCGTGTGTATATGTTATACGATCATGTTCACTTTCGGATCGACATCAACATCTGGCACTTAACGTTCATCTTGTCCATCAAATTAGTAATGAAAACGTATGTACTAGAGATATATAACAAAAAGCTACATAAACGTGCCGAACGGAAGAAGATCATATTTGAACATAACTTAATAGATTACAAAAAGAATGTAAGTTGGTAACATCATTTTGTGATGTTTCGTGAACTGTCGCTCACTGTGATTTCGGATATTCATTCATTTCTCTTTCATAGAAATCAGCCGAGGATGAAAAATACAAGACCAAAGAACAAAAAGAGCTGTTTAATAAAATTAAGCCTTTTGCACAAACCTTATGTAAACAAGAGTTTGAAGAATTTGGGGAGGGATTAAGTAGTAAGAATTTGTTATTCTTGTTATCATCCGCGCTTGGTCATGTCATTGCGATTGATTCTTGATTTGTTTCAAATGCATTGATTAGACGCACAAAATCTCCGTGCTCAAATAGAGAGGCTACAAGAATTTCGCCGAAATGGTCTGACGAGTTTCAGTGAAGTTCAGAAATATGAGAAAGCAAAGGCTCAACGGGTAAGTCTTACTTTCTTACTAATAAAGGTCTTCGATGGTCCGTTCTCTCCAACATACATTTATCTGGACGCATGGTAAACGCTTCCAAAGCAACAGGAATTAAACCGAGAATTAGCGGCTCGTTCGAACGGACACTTAATATCCATATCGGCGGGTATAGCACCAAGACATGCTTCCAAAACTCCTGTACGTGTAAATGAGGTATGTTTTAGATTTGCTACTTAGTCATCGACTGGTAGTACTGGATATATAATGGGCCAGTACTAAAAGTCCGATAACTAGTCTATCCTCCGACTGATATGCGCACGAACGTCGAATGCACAATGCACTGCTTTACTGATATTAATCAGGGGATAGATTTATGCGTGATCTTGTGTATGGTGATTTCATTATAAAATAAATCGATTGATCGGTTAACTAATTACCTCCGTTATCTAAAAATTTGATAAATAGCAACAACAACAATCACCTCTGGCATCACCTTACGGTTGTAAGACAACTCCATCGTCTTCTGTGAGTAAAGCAACGCGCAAGATACCTCAAGCACTTGATCTTAATGACGAGGAAGGTGTACATTTACTATCAGAGGCCGAAAGAAAGCTATGTGAGAATTTACGAATACTTCCGAAATCTTATTTGGTGATTAAAGAGACAATTCTTAAAGAATGGGCACGGACCAATGGAACCCTTCGGAAACGACAAGCAAGGGACCTTATACGCATTGATGTTAACAAGACGGCTAGAATTTATGATTTCTTTATAGAGATGGGTTGGATAAGACAATTATCAGACAATGGTTATTCGGGGGGGAATACCAACACCATACCTAATGGAGCAGGAGGCGTCAGTGGTGCCGCGACGCCTAATGGCATTCACCCTCCGGCTAACAATAATAACCAAAGAAAATACAAGCCATGTTAACTTTTCAATTTCACTTGATTGGTCCTCCCACATCCCATATATACATCTTACATTATTGCCCTTATCCTATCCACTAATTTATATTTCCCAGGTTTGTCCCTCAGTGTAACAATTGTAATATAAAAAAACTAAACCTAGGAATAAAATTGATAGCCTACTATCATGTGGATGATTATACATAACCGACTAATTATATGAAATTGATCAATTTTTGGACGTCACTCGATTTGTTTTAACTTTCGTTTCATGAAATATACAGATCAACTTTAGATGCCTGATGAGTTTCAGGTTTCGATGCATAAAACAATGTCATTGCGAAAATCTGTCTACCATTACATCTGACTTTCTTTCTTTGATCATAAAATATAGTGAAAATTCTGCCCAATGGGGTCGCACATTAATTAAAACAGAAACTACAAATTGCAAGATAATTTTTATTTTATATTAGAAAAACGTCCTTATACAAATTACTATTAATTTACCATTATTACTAAGCACAATATATGTTTAGAATATATTGGAATCATATTATTGTATTGAATAATCAATACTTATCTAGAGTCAACATACTAATAAAGCAAAATACTGCATATATTGTAAGTATGGCATATATAGTTCTAACAAAAAAAAGATAACACTTGATTTTTTTATATTATTAACAGGTTTAATTATTAAAAACAAATTATTTTAAAATAAAATAAAAAATGTCATATGTGTATAATAATATAGTTACAAGAAAATTGTTTTACCATATACAGTCACACCTCTATTTAAGAACTAGGTTGGGACCATAGCAATTTTTTTAAAAAAATATTCTCATAAAGAGGTGTTCTTATATGGAGGTTTTTTTTATAAGTTTAATAGTAATTGGTTTTTTAATGTGATATTCTTAAAAAGAAATTTTTATATAATATTCTTTTATGAAGAATTCCTTTATGGAGGTCTGACTGTAACTGTTTTTTCTTAAAAGTTTAACTGTTTTTTAATTAAAAAATATTATTGTTAATTAAAAAAATAAAGTGATAAAAAAAAATTTAAAAATGAAATTTAAAAAGTTTGACTAAAATATAATAATAATTTTTATGAATAATTGTGAGTGCCCAACATAAGGTTATCCCAACATGAGATGATCACATGATTTTGGTTAAGTGAACTTCGAAAAATTATACTTTGTATATAATGTATTAAAAATATACTTATATATGATTATAAATATATATTATTTTAAAGTTAAATAAAGAAAAAAAATTTTAAAATGGTTTATGAGATCGACTTTTCAAAAACACCCACAGAATATCAAGATATTATTATCTATCTTTGAAATGGAACAATACCTATCACAGTAAAACCAAAAAATCATTGGAACTTTAAACGTAAAATGAAACATTGGCACTTAAACAACAATTTTCTTTATGTTTAACTTACAAATCAACCACTTCGACGATTTGTACCTATGTGAGATATAAAATTCCGTCAATCTCTTTTTCAACAATTTCATATCCAAGACTGTCATATTAATGCTAGAGATTGCTATAATAAAATTGCCAATCAATATATTGGTATTGTTAGAGGTAAAAATAGTAATACAAAAAGATAGATAAATAAGAAAAAGATAATTAGGTATATTAGGTATATCAGGAATATTAGGTATATTAGGTATATTAGGTATATCAGGTATATTAGGTATATCAGGTATATTAGGTATATCAAGTATATCAAGTATATTTGGTATATCAAGTATATAGTAAAGAAGTATAAAAGTGACAAGTAAAGCAATGGAGAAAAGGTTGGTCATTCGATAAAACTATAATACATTAATAGATTCACAATATATACTCGACCAAAAACATACATGCCTATTTCAAAGGAAGACGAATTATGACCATTACATGGCATAGATCAGATTGAAGCGACAGACTCGCCATATCACACTACAACAGTATTACGAAGAAATATGTTTATGAATTCGTCCGTAATTGTACTATATGCAATCAATTATCATCAATAAAAGAAAAAGATGACTTAACTTCAGTTGTAAGCCATGGTCCTATGGAACATCTTCAAATGGATCTTATAGATTTTACGGCATATAAAGATCATAACAATGATTTTGTCTGGCTTCTTACTATTGTTTATATTTTTTCCAAGTTTCTTTAGGCTATTCCAATTAAAACTAAAGAAGCTAAAGTTATAGAAAAAGAATTAGTATATTTATTTTCTCAGTGGGGTGCACCATCAATCTTACAATCTGACAATGGCAAAGAATTTACTGTTGATATTATTATATGTGTTTGTAAAACACTTGGAATCACAATTCGACATGGTTGTTCACAGCATCCAATGTCACAAGATCAAATTGAACAACTAAATCAAACGATTGAATGCGAATTAACAAAGATGATATGGAATGAAGAAAACCAGTTACAAGACGTGAATTGGAAAAATAATCTATTTAAATTCATATTTTCATATAATACTACAAAACATAGTGTGCATGGTAAAACCCCTAGAGAAGTTATGTTTAAACACAAACTTCATGGCATTTATCAATAATTTAATCTTAACAATTCTACTATTCTTCAAGAAATAGAAATCGATAACTTACAAAAAATACAAGAAAATTTATCACAAACTGTTGAAAATCACTTAGAAAAAGTTTCAGTAATTCATAATAAGATTAATAGCCAACTTGAGAAATCTAGAAAATATATGCTCAAACATTCAAGTGTTCACCATCTTATGAATCTCTATGAACAAGGTTAAACAGTTGCCATTGCTCCAGATACTGATATGAATCCGATGACCAGAAAATGAAAATTGCAAACTATATTTAAAGATACTGGAACGGTTATTGGTATGACAAACAATAATAAGACTGTTATTGTTGAAACATCTGAAGGAAATACTATATGTTATCCTGTAAAAAGAGTTCATTATATTAAAAAAAATAATAGCAATTCTTAATTTTAATTAAAGTTTTTATTATACTATGTATTAGAATTAAGAAATTAGTATAAATATTAGAATTGGGAATCAGGATATTAGGATCGGTGCATTGAAATTAGGGATTAAAGTGTTAGTATTATGTATATAATATAATATTTTCGGAATTTTAATTAAATTGCCTCACCTTGGTCCATCTTTATGTTGATCCCTCACAATAATTGAAAGAAATTTTTTTTAGATCAAATAAATTATTAAAAATATTAAGATATTAAATAAAAAATAATTTGAATTTTTTTTTTTGTTATAAACAAGCATTAGATATGAGATATTTTATTAATATAAGTTATTTGTCATTATATCAAATATTTAGGGCTCCTAATGATACCACTTCGATACCATTTCGATACCAGTTTGATACTTAAATTTGCTATAAAAACATATGAGTAGGTCACAACCCATATATTAAATTTACTATAGATCGGTACCATTTCGATACCAGTTTGATACCAGTTCGGTACTTTTTCGAAACCCTACAAATATTCTACTTCACTATGGTTCTGAAAATTGGAATTGAACAAACTTATATAGACTCATATAAAGTTTAAAACACCATTAAAAATAATGATAAGTTATAACCATATATTAAATTTACTATGAATCTGAGAATCAAGAATTAAATCAAATCAAATTATTAGGATCCTTACACTTCACCTATTAATGAAAATTAATATTATATAATTTGGTTATTACTAGTTAGTATACTTATCTTATTTATATAATTTTGATATATTTAGCTATATAAACTTTAAATATCAAATAGATAGTTCACATATTAAGTAGGATATATATAGGGGATGAAAATTCTATTATTAATTTAAATCACTTAACTTACTAAATCTAGTCTTGATTGTATTTGTTGTGAATAAAGCACATTATGAAATATTATTATAGAGATTAACTTTAATATTTCAGTTTTTGTTATTATCAATTCTTGAAATGTACTATTAGCATAATATAGCACTACTTGTTTTTATCATCTGTAAAACTAGTATTCTTACTTGGATTCTAATTTAATTTTATAAATTTTTACTAAACATATTTGGCATAATGATTTTTATCTAGATTTTTATTACTCATAACTAATTATCTTGCCTTTTGATCTATATTTTTAAGTTTTTATAAGATATCATAATTAAAATAAATTTATAAGCTCCAGATTAAAATAGATTGATTTAGAACTAACCTCTTAATTTTTATATGATAAAGTCTGCTGTTACTAATTTGGATTAAGTTTTTGTAGACTTTTATTGGAGTTAAACCAAAAGTCTTTTCTTATGTAACCTTTCTTGCTTCAATTTATTTTTAGCTTGCAATTATTAAAAAAATTAAAGATTCCATATTTATATAACCTAACTAAATTTAAAAATTGATTTTTTGTTTTTTCAACTAATTTGATATAACATAAATTAAAAGTTAATTAATTAATTATAAAAATAATAAGTTTTTATAATCAGATGGATTTAAATTCTAGATCTTCTCTTGATAACTTATGAATCATTATCATCAAAATATCATTTTTTTATTTATTTATATTGTAATAAAATAATTAAATTTTATTATATTATTTATTTATTATTATTATTATTTATTATTATTTTAATTTCTTTTAATATTATTTTAATATTATTTTATGAATTTATTCTTGAAATTATTATTTATAGAAAGGAATAGTATCATAATTCAAGATAATTATATATCAAAATCATATAACAATATAATTAACTTGTGAAAACTTATTAATTTTTTAAATTTCTATAGTTTTTATATAACAAATGAGTTTTGAAATAAAATATCTTATTTTTTTATTAAAAAAAATGGTCAAAGTTGTTCTATTAAACTATAGGTAAAATAACTAAAAGAATGTATTCTATTAGATCATTAAAGCAAATTACTTAGTATAATTTAAGTAATTAAGGAATTTTAATTCAAACAGAATTATTGTTTATTATTAATAAATAAGAAAAGAAATAATTGTAAAACTAAAAACAATATATAAGGAAGATTATTTCACTTTTCTAAAGGACGAGACAGTTATAAATTCTTCATAATTATAATTATTATATTATCTAATTTTTATTCTTTTCTTAAACCTTTAATAAAATATCTTTTATTTTTATTATTAATTTAATAAATCTTTGTTAATAAATTCTCTTAACTTATAAATTAATTGATATAAATATTTTGGCTGGCTTACATATATATGATTATATAAGGATGACAGTTATTATGGTACTAATTGCTATTAAGTTACTAAGTAGTAATATATTGTAATTGGTACAAGAAAAATAATATACTTTACTATCTATATTTAAAGCTGATTAAATAATATTTTAATTATTTATAAAAGTTAATAAAGAATTTATTTATTAAAGAAATTCTTAAAAAGTTCTAATTCTTGAATATAAAGTTTTTTAATAAAAGGTTTATATACTGAATCTTATATCTTTCTTTTAAATAATTCTTATATTTTTAAATTTAACATAATAAATTAATATTATAACAATATATTTTAAGATATATATTTAGAAAAAAATAATATCTCTTGGATACAAAATATACAACAAATTAAATTCCAACCCTATTTATTAATATTATAAATAGCTAATATTGAAAAAAAAATATTAAACCAATATTGTTACTAAATATAGGTTAAGTAGCAGCCATACTTATCTACTTAAAAAATATATATTTAAGATATAAAAAAAATTTGAAAAGAAAAAATAAAAATATCATAAATTTTTGAAATTAAGCACACCTGTTATTAAGCAACCCCTTGATTTTAATATCAAAACTATGTAAAATAATAAGTATTAAATTTAAGCAACCCATAAAAAATTGGTATATATATACTGTATGTATTATAAAAAATTAATTACATTAATATATCAAAATGAATGTAATATATGCATATATTTAAAATATATTGCTTAGTTGTTAATTATTTACAATTTAATATCTATTATTGATTATAACAATTCTACTCTCACTGGTATTACTTATATTAGTGCTTTAAAAAATAAAAATATTATCAAATCTAGTAATAAATTTAAATAACCTTTAATATCTTAACCTTACTTATCAAATTTTCTGAATTTCTGATATTTTATATGTTAAAAATAAGATTTGATGTTATAAAAATTAAGAAGCAACTGATAATAATCATTAATGTAACTAGTATATAAATAATTACAATCTTTTTAATTTTTAGTTTACCTTTCAAAATTTTTTATTTGTATATCTTACAATATAATAAAATTTATCATGGTATTGGTGTCAATTACAGCAGTAATTTCACTTGTATTTAATATCTTGCAACAAATAAGGTGAGAAAATTAGTAAAAAATAAAATTTCTAGAATAGCATAAAAGAAAGATTAGATATAAACATGTAAATAACATGCATATATATAAATACATGCACAATTCAATAGCATATAGAGATAAGAATATGGTAATAACATTTAAACAATAAAGTCAAATTTGTAAATAAACTCTTATCTTGTTTTTTCATATATCCAAAATACTTGTGGCTTGTATTGTAACTAGATAATAGAACCAAGGTTTGCCTAAGGAAATTGATATTGAAAGAATTTTAAGTTAGTTAATAGAAAAATTAAAATAAGACTAACCAAATCAAAAACATGTTTCAAGAGTTAAAAAAAAAACTTATCTTATTGTAAGCTAAATATAAAAAGAAGTATTATAGACTTCCCAATTAGCTCATAACATTTGGTGGTAAATTAGAAGATTTGTATAAGACAAAAATGATATTTGTTTATCAATTATAAATATATTAATTAAAATATTAATTATATCTTTTTCCCTATTACCTGTAACTAGGGATCACAATGGATCGAATCAGATCATATTTTAGCTAAATTTGATTTGATTCATTTTTAGATATACAATTCAAATTTGAATTAGATATTATATAGCTTGATTTGATTCGTTTCAATTTGATTATTTTGTCAATAATGATTTTTATTATATCATATTTACTTTAATTTAATTTAAAAGACTATTAATTGAAAATTTTTTATTTTAAATATAAATTAACATTATAAATAAAAGTTATTAAAATTGCTAATTTATCTATAATCAATTATTGTTTTCTATATTTATATATATTCCTTCGTAATTAGTATTATTTTTTTCATTATTTTTTTTATTGATTTTTCAAGAGCTTGTAAAGTATAGAAATCTGTTGATAATTGATTATGTTGATAATCCACATGACAGTTCACAAGTTACACCCTCTATTGACAAGACTGTAGTGCCATGCAATTTATTCTCTAGCCAACAGTACAGAGTATTTCCTAAAAAAATATTAAAAATTTAAATCAGAAATACTTTAAATTTTTAAAAATTTAATCTTTTTTTTAAAAATACCTGTCATTTCTATTTTAATTTCCCATTTGGCTAAATAAAAATTCCTACCATTGAAATCTCCTTCTTGACAATCAAATTTATCACTATTGACAGGTTATATTCATTTTAAACAAGTTGCTATAATCACATATTCTAAAAAATTAGTATTGGTATATGCAAACTTACTATATGTTCAGGCTATATAGGCCTCACAAAGACCTAAAGAATGGTTTAAAAATTTTTTTTGCCATTACAAGAAATTGTAATTTCTTTATTAACAGCACCATACTGGTTGCTATCTAATTAGGGAAGGTCAAATTCTTCAATTTTTTTTTGGATACTTGAAATCACATCCTCGGAAAATATATTTATGGCATAATTAAAAAGAAA